CAAGTAGGCCACCATAACCAAACAATTCACTTCTAGATATGAAATCCTCTTCATGACCATGCAAATAACATCGCATACTTGGATATGAACGTATTATGTTACAACGTGAATAACTATATCTTCAAGGAAGTTTTAATGTCCAAAACAACACACATTATCCTTGATGACATTACGATCTCCTTTACCGAAACACACTACCAGCCTCGAGGAGGATGGTAGCGGGGAAAGTCTTGATCCTTCACCGAAACAGACCATGGTGGGGATCCTTTATTCACCGAAACACACCATGGTGGGGATCCTTTATTGCTCCTCCACTGGAAGCAGAACCACCAACCTCCTAACATCCCTGTAGAGGATGGTGGAGGAATAGTTCTCCTCACCTCGGTTTCTCTTTGACTGTCCGTCGGAAACTGGACAACTTCGACATGTTGTCACTCTCACATCTCGTACTACACCCCTCGCATCAGGACACACCTCCACGACTCGACCCAGCCTAAACTGGCCCCTCAGTGCGTTCTGATCAGCTAACCATACCAGATCACCCACTGCAACATTTCTAGCAGGCACGTGCCACTTCTGGCGGATGTAGAGGTTTGGACCTGCCAACTGGCTCCACCGCTTCCAGAACTTATCAACCTCAATCTGGATTGTTCTCAGACGCACGACGGGGTAAGTTGGATACTCAAACCCTCGGGAGCCCCCATTGGGTCCTGCGCGACCGAGCAGAAGTGAGTTGGGAGTGATTACTTCCACGGTCTCATCTTGTACCTGAGCTCTGGCACCGATAGGTCTCTCATTTGACAGATTAGCAGCCAGGTACAGAAGAGTCTGGAATTCCAGCGCTGTCAGATTACATTCCTTGCCAACACTACTTAACGCTCTCTTGAGTACACGAACTGCTGCCTCAGCTGCTCCATTCCGATGGGGAGAGTCCGCCGGGTGAAACACCCACGTCCAGTCGGTTCCTCTAACTACCGCTTTCTTCTGGACCTGATCCTTGTCGATGTTACTTAGGAACTCATAAAGCTCCTGTAATACTGGTCTGGCGCCCACAAAGTTGGTCCCTTGGTCCGACCAGAGCTTTCTTGGGTGACCCCTGAGAGCTGTGAAGCGCTGGTATGCTTTCAGGAATCCTTCCGTCGACAGATCTTCCACAATGTCAGCATGTACTGCTCTTGAAGCCATACAGCTGAACACCACACCCCAGATTTTCATCTTCGTTCTTCGTCTTACAGTATCTTTAACAACATAGGGACCGAAAAGGTCTAACGTCGTAAACTCGAATGGTGTGGCTGGTTTAGTCCGTTCAAGGGGAAGTTCACTCATCACCTGTTTGCACAATCTCGCTTTGATCTTCCGACAATTTTTCCTCTTCCCGGTGATCAGAATCACTAAAATCAGGTTGTAGAAGTTATTTAGCCCTTTAACGGCCCCGTTAGCTCTTGGCTTCGGCTCCTCCGTTGCAGTGGTGTTGTTAACGGCCGCTTCCTTCTCAGAATACGGGTCGCCGATCCTGACCTCGGTCATCAACGATGGCTTCTCTTCCGCTCGGTGTCCGTGAATTCTCGAGCACGGCTCCGACGGCGGTTTATAACTGTCCAGTTTTTTACTAAGTTACCTGCTATAGGTCAATAAACTCCCCACTGGAAGGGTTTCAGGACAAGCACGGCGGATACAACTCAAGCCACTTTTGAGCTTTTTATTGCGTACACATACACAATAATCATTCACAAGCAAGGTAGCCTGAATGCTACTGCTACGCTAGCCTATCAGCTAGTTATATGTGACGTTTTAGCTCGTCAGTTAACTAATCAGTTAGGATGCTAGGTTATAAACCGGCAAGCGTACCAGTCCTGATCAACAACAGAATGAAAATGAAAAAAGGCGGCGCTTGCGCACTGACTAACTACACATATACAGATACACAATCTGGTGACTAGGAACGACAATAAGACATATCTGTAACCTAGTAGGATTATAACATATATGAAATATAACATAAATGTGCCTGCATTTAGAATAAGATGGTAAATATACACACCTATTTCTTCAAATACCCCAGAACATAATAACAACATCTATCATTTGTAATATACATACGCAAATAATAGTGACACCTGCTGGAAAGTTCTACAAAGGTTGTGTCTGTTAAAGCTGCGAATTCCTCGTGGTGCTGATAGCAGGATATTAGACCCTCCCTGTCCAGCTCAGGCTGATTAGACCGGCCAAACCTGCCCCCGCGACACGCAGCGAGCATCTCTCCATTGTGATACTGGATATTATAATTGATCCACTACTGAGAACTTTATCATTCTTCAATTCTGATCAATTGCTACACAAAACTCCAGCTGTGTTTACTGCTCATATTAAACAAAAAACACTTTTTGGCTTTTGTCCCTCTAGTTTTGAATGTATCGGTCTTGTAGTCACTATATGCGTCAATGAATAACTTGTTCAGGCGGTTTATCATTTCCTCCCAAAGTCTGCATGGTTGTTGAATGTTCAAGTCATGCATCTTTGCAGAACACCACCAAAAGTGAAATAACTTCAGTTTATGAGTCAAATATGTTAATTAGCAAATTAAAGCAATGGTTTGTTTCTTTCATTATCATGCAAACTACACCTAAAGCACGTTCTGAAAGGCCTACAAATCTAGTGCGCAGTACACAAAGTAAGACAAGATGCAGCGAGACCTCCATCTCCAAACTAGCCGAAACTTGAGAGTGATGTTATTTATTGACCGTTACCTAGGCTTCCAAATGCAACCCTGTTGCTAGGGAACAACCCTTCACAGCAACAAAAGGTTTCCTTTATCCTCTGTGAACGAGCCTGAAAGAATACCTCCGCAGCGGCGCGGTCTGAGCCATCCCACACTGCACTGCAGGCTGCTCCGTCACAACACACTGCATAATCTGTTATATTAGCTGTCAGTGAATCAAAGTGGTGCTATTTCCTCAATTTATAAATGCAAACATCTTAATCAGACCATTGGGGAAACTCCTGGACAAATGCTGGATGGCAGGACGAAGCTGCATCAAACAACATACTGCACTTCTCATGCTAGCGAATTACAAAACATGCTTGATTAAAGAGAATTTTGCACACGGATTTAGAGCAATAACTGTCCAAATGTGGGAAAACCAGAATACCTGTATTGTAAAAAGGCCGTTTTTAAATAAGCACATTGCATAGGTCGCATTTGTCGGTTCTAGTAGACTCTTTAGCTTCTTCAAAGATAAGGGTGGTTGGAGAAGAAGTGAAAAAACAGGTTTGCTATGGTGATGGATGATTCTTGGCTAACAGTCGTTTGTCCTGCTGGTCCCTTTTTGTTGCTGTATTTGGTTACTGTGGGCCTGAGGAATTAATTGAGCTATCTGTTTATTAATAAACAACATTAATGATGTACTGACTAAATATATTCACGTTTGTGCATTTATCAGCCATTGAAACATCTGTGGTTCCTCCTCAATGTAATATAGATACAAATAACCTTTGCTAAGACTGTTTGAAGCTTTATAAATTAAGTTGTTGATCTTGTTAATAAAGCAAACTATTGTATTGCATTGCTAAAAAACATACGTATTAAACATAATCTTACCAGTTGTTCGCATGCTTACCTAGCTAAAAAATATAGTATAAGAATATTTTACTAACATTCCCGTTAAGTTATGAAAATGTTTTTTTCTGAAATATTCCCTAAACGTTCAAAACATAATTTTTTTTTCTTGGTTATATGAATGTTAATGAAACATTCCATTTTATAATTTTGAAAACATTATGAGAGTTACTTTTGAATAAGAACATTAGATGAACATCAAATATATACATTTTTTGTGCTAACAATTTTCTGTTAATGTTACTGGAAGAACATTTGTTAGATGTCTAGTGTCTTTAAACGGCTCTAAACTTAGTTTTGAACTTTCTAAAGTTGTCTGCTTATACTAGCTTTGACCACGTACAAATAAAAGCCTCACTTTGTATTACGAATCAAAACAGATGATGAAACAGCTCGTCTTTCAAGCACAATGAACTAAATGAATTTCCCAAACTGGGCTATGCTTACATTTTCATTTTCTCAGAAAGTGAACGGTTTACTGAAGTATAAGTATATGTGATGTATATAGCTCAGAATGATTATGCAATGGCTTTCGCGATGGAAGTTCTGGTCTGTATGAAACGAAATGAGTAAGTAAATGTATTTGAAATAGGGAAGGAGGCAGATCTCATCTCTGAGGAAGAGAGAAGACACTGGCATATGTACACTTCAACCAGACCTGCCTGTTTAATATTTCATGTGCACATTAGGACTGTATCTTTCTAGATGATCAGGTCTCATCACTCCAAATGAATGGAAGGTATGTGATGAATGTATGTGCTGTCATTATGAATGGGGAAAGGAAAAATTTAAATCGCATCATATGACCCCTTTAAGGTTTTATTAAAAATTTATAATTTTTTTTATTATAAAGCATTCCAGTTTTTATTCATTGTAAATTTCAGGTTTTCTAGAAATGAAAATTTCCATCGCAGTGTCATTTCCACTATAATTCCTACTGTCTGTTGTTGTGTTTCTTTGATGGAAATCTTTAACATTTGTGAATTTGTTTTTGTCTTGCTTTGGCTAATTTCATAGCTGGGTATTTTAGGTCTCCTAAAAGATAGAATTAAATAATATTTTCGAGGAAATTCCAGCTTGTTTGGAAATGAAACATAATAAAGATATGGTATGTGATATTTACCTTGATGTTTCTTTATTTTATTCACAGATACTGTCTCATACTGTATTTCAATCATGCTTTTCACCGAAAATGTCCTCCGTAGTTTCAAGGAGAAAAATAAAAAAAAATTTCAATAACTAAAATAATTTTCACAAAATAAATATTGAAATGAGTATTTTTTTCACTCCTTTTTTTTTTGGTAATAATCTCTCTTTTTTTTCTTTCTGTTTGTATTTTATTTTTAATGGATTTTTATAGTTTTAAAAGAGTAAAGATCTGGGACCAGGGCAAAACAATAAAATTATAAAATCATCCGACAGCATCAAAAATCCTGAACACGCGCTGACATTTACTCAGTACAGTTCCCATAACTGTACAAACACCAATTAGTCTCTCATAGAGGAACAACAAAAACAACTTAAACATTCCTTTGCTGAAATGCAGTAATATAAGAATAACATCTGAGTTCAACAATATGTAATTATCACAATGTAAGACATGTTACAGGTCCTCTGCTCTTAAAGGATCAATGAAAGCTGAGAGTTGCATTCACACAGGCAATCAGGAAGCCGTCTTGATTTATTGCACGTAGTTTAAGATCAAAATCAGCCTGTGGAAAAACACACGCAAGACATATTGTAAATAAAGGCCATGTTCATTTTCAAAGCTGTTTAAACGGAATACACAAATCAAACCTTTAGAGGAAGATCTATTTTTGACTTAAATGATGACTCAACGGTGATGATTTCTGGAGAAATCAAAATTGAACACATTATTCCCAATAATGGCATATTGCAATCTATTTATTATAAAACTGTCAAGGGTAACCAATATCTTTCTATGCTCACTCACCTCCTCTCCTGCTTCCACAAAACTTAAAACGTGGGAAATGAGGAAGACAGAGGGGCTCGTCCCGTTTCAAGATTGTGTGACCATTTAGCCACAGCTCAGATGATGAATAAAGCTCATCGATGGACTGCCCTGTGGAAAACACACAGTTACTGCCTGATGGCTTCATGTCACTGATCTGAAACGTGATATGTGACCCTGGAGCACAAAAGCAGTCTTAAGTCGCTGTTTCTCGAATAAATAAGCTTTCCATTGATGTATGGTTTGTTAGGATAGGACAATATTTGGATGAGATGCAACTATTTGAAAATCTGGAAGGGTGCAAAAAAATCTAAATATTGAAAAAAATCAAATATGCATTGCTAAGAACTTCATTTGGACAACTTTAAAGGCGATTTTCCTCAGTATTTAGATTTTTTTTGCACCCTCAGATTCCAGATTTTAAAATAGTTGTATCTCGACCAAATACTGTCCAATCCTAATAAACCATAAATCATTGGAAAGCGTATTTATTCAGCTTTCAGATGATGTATAAATCTCAATTTCGAAAAATTGACCCTTATGACTGGTTTTGTGCTCCAGGGTCACATATTGTTATGTGCAAAGATGAAAACTCACTCAGAATCAAGGCCAATCTGATTTTTATAAGATCGGTTAATCTCTCAGGGCAAGGCAGGAGAGTGAAACCTACATCCTGCAAAGGGTCTGAGACAATGAAATGGAAAAATGAAAGCAATTCACTGTACATTTTAAAATGAAAATAAAAGAAAGATAAAACAACACAAAAGCGGAAAACACACACCACTGTTCAAAAGCTTGGGGTCAGTAAGAAAAAAGGAAGTCTCTTCTGTTCCCCAAGGCTGCTTTTATTCCATCAAAAATACAACAATAACAGTGAAGTATTATTACAATTTCAAATAACTGTTTTCTATGTGCATATATTGTAAAATATAATTTATTCCTGTGATCAAAACAGAATTTTCAGCATCATTACTCCAGTCTTCAGTGTCACATGATCTTCAGAAATCATTCTAATATGCTGATTTGCTGCTCAACAAACATTTCTGATTATTATCAATGTTGAAAACAGTTCTATTTTTGTGGAAACTGATACATTCAAATTTTCAGGATTCTTTGCTGAATATAAAGTTCAAAGGAACAGCATTTATTTGAAAGAGAAATCTTTTGTAACGTATAAATGTCTTTACTGTCACTTTTAATTGATTTTATATATTCACAGTCAATAAAAGTATTAATTTCTTTAAAACATATATCTTACTGACCCCAAACTGTTGAACAGTAGTGTATGTCACACTGATCTCACCGCAGCTCCTGTAGGTCACCGTAATTCGTCCAGAGTCGCAGACTGTGTGAACCAGCCACTGGGGATCCTGAGAGTGAACCCAATTCATCTGAACCATAATCAGAATCAGAACCAACAACATATTGTCACACAGTCGTGTCTTCATAGCTTGCAGGTCGCTTTAGACCCAGAGTCTGACTAACGTAGGTGAAATACGTGGTGGAACAGGGCAACTTAACTTCTCATTTAGGTCAAGCGCCTCAGACAATGTCAGCACGTCACAAGTTTCACTTCCCATCTTCATGTCAATGCATCTTATTAACATGCCCTAGAGCTACTTCCTAATATCCAATACAACGAGATATAGTTATGTAAATTGCATTTGTAATAGTACCTAAATTATTACACTCTGTAAGAACAGCATCTCCCTCATCATGCCTCATGTATAGGGTTTAACAGTTCATCTAAAAAGCCTCACAATTAAACCATTCATCTAAAAATTCCAACTTCTCTTTTAATTTGAGTACTTTCTATAATGAAATTATGAGAAATGAGTTTCATTTTCCATGTCATTTTGGTTTGTTAGTCTGTTTGTTTTTTACTCACAATTAAAATGTTTATTTATTTATTTGAAATGACCTTTTGAGAAATAAATGAATAGGTAGAAAAGCAAATTCTTTCTCTTTTTTTTCAGAATCAGCATTGTTTAGCACTTTTTATGCTGGTATAGTATCAGTATAACTTTTTTCTTTTATGAGGGATCAAGAGATGATGAGAAGAAAACCAGGAAACATGATTTGGAAAAGTCACAAGTTTGAACATTGCATGGCTAAAAATGTCGCACCAACTCGCTATACATTATCTCCAATACCTATTAAGGTTTTATCTGCTGAATGGCCACTTTTTGTCCAGCTTCTGAAAATAAAGAGACCTAGAGTTCATAGGCCTACCAGTCATAAGGGTCAATTTTTGGAAATTGAGATTTATACATAATCTGAAAGCTGATTAAATAAGCTTTCCATTGATGTATGGTTTGTTATGACAGGACGAGTTTTTATTTGGCCGAGATACAACTATTTGAAAATCTGGAATCTGAGGGTGCAAAAAAAATCAAAATATTGAGAAAATCGCCTTTAAAGTTGTCCAAATGAAGTTCTTAGCAATGCATATTACTACAAAAAAATAAATTACAAAATATCTTCATGGAACATGATCTTTACTTAATATCTTAATGATTTTTGGCATAAAAGAAAAATCAATAATTTTGACCCATACAGTGTATTTTTGGCTATTGCTACAAATATACCCCAGCGACTTAAGACTGCTTTTGTGCTCCAGGGTCACATATGTGTTAACTTTTATTTTAAATTCTTAAATGCAGTTAATGAATTCAATTAGAATAATAAGACACTATACAGTTAATCAAATGAAATCAGCATCAGGAGAGAAGCTGCATTTGAAGTCGCATTTAGTCTGTATATACACATTCTGTTTACAGTGAAATGTACACTGAAATTACAATTGCATAAATACTGTTATGAGATTAAAGTTTTAAAATGTAAATTAACTTCTTCTTCTTTCTTGCTTGTGTGACATTGCTTATAGCCTGTGTGATATGTTATTAAAAAAAAAAAACTCATCCAGTGGCATTTTGAAGACATACAGTACTGTATATTGAATTTTGGGGGCATTTTTGCCATAAAAACCCCAGTAATTTCTGACCCTGCATTTAATCCGTCTTTGGGAATCAAACTAATGTCACTGGTGTTGCATGCTACAGGAACAGGACTGCATTTATTAGAGGTACTTTGATGTGAGTAGGTTTTTTGTTGTTGTTGTTGTTGCATTAAAACAGCATGGAATGAAAAAAATAACAACAGAGAAATACAAAAGTAAGGCTACAGTAAAATCTGTTTGGCTAATTGCAAGTTAGTTAACCATATACAGTGAAGATTACATTAGATTTAATAAGACACAAACATTATGAGCATAGCCAAAGTCCCTTTAAGATTAATATTCTATAGTCTTTGGTACAGTACAGTCATACAGTACAGTATGAGTATACTAAAATCTGGCTTTTGGGAGTAAGATAAATAACATATACATTTTGAGAAAAATATTGTTGATATTTTAAAGAACGTCTTTATAGTTCAAGTTGGTAATGATCAGCTTACAGTAGGCTATGCATACACATATAGGTCTATCCATTATATCCACAATCACGTGACATATACGTCACATATATTCTAGTATTTGTTGTTGTTCCAAAACACTTTCTTACGATCCTTCAAGCTTTTATACTGGTGTCCTAAAGCATATGATTCTTAAACAACACTTGTCTGATCAGTATCTGATGAAGGAATTATATGTAATGTGTAATTTTGGTTTAAAAACAAGATGGCCACATGTATTAATCTGCATTTACATTTTATATGATTATGTTTGCTGTGAAATGTCACTATCATTTGTTTGATTGAGAGATCAATCTATCATTTGTGTGAACTGCTGATAACTGTTAATGATTTCTGCAAATCAGTATAGATGTTTTTTTCTTTATTCTCAGTTCATTTAATCTTAAAATGTATTGAGTATAAATCTTACATTAATGATTTAGTGGTCTTCAAAATATGTGAAAGAATTTAAGGACCATTAAACTCACTTCATAACTTTAATACTGTAGGAATTACTATCATACATTATTGTTAGAATCTCATATGTTGTTGATGGTCTGAAATATGCTGCTGTCATCAAGAATCAGAAGCGAGGTCACAGATGTGTGTGTGTGTGTGTGTGTGTGTGTGTGTGTGTGTGTGTGTGTGTGTCAGACTGACCTGATCTTGGGATCATCTTGACTTGCTCTGGTTTCATGGAGGTGTTTTTCTCCAGTGGAAGAGGAAGTCCTGAGCCTATATTAATCAGAATGGGGCTCTTCTGACTGGAGCTTCTCAGCAGACCATCTCCTCTTCTACAGAGACCGTGAGTTCAGCACTTTTAATGACTCTTTGCCATTTTCAACTGTATTTCTGAATGCCTTAGCATTACATACAGTATATAAGGCAGTTTAGTTGTGGTTTACAATTTATGACTTATAGCAGACAGACTTGTAGAATTAGCTATTCATTGTTTATTATTAGTATATTTTCAGCTTATTCTATTTATGTACTTTAGACACATAGAACTAAGCATTGTGTGTTTTAGGTGCAAAAAATGCATTACAGGAAACTTGTCCAAGTCATAGGCTGATTAATATATGGCATTTGACATGCAGGATCACAGAACCAAACAGTGACTACAAACCTCATTAACTTTAGTTCTGGATTAGATTTAATCACCATTGGTATCACGAGTTATTGAAATTCTTTTTTCCTCAGTTGGTCAGAACAAAAGTGGCAGACTTGTTACTTGTTCTGATGACAATATCAGGTGAAAATTCTTATTTGGGTCATATTTCCAAGACGTAGGCTAGAATCTGTGATTCCGAAGTACAGTATCAAACATTAGATTCATCCGCGCTGAGGAGCCGTGCCGACACACAACCCACGTAAAGGAAATAATTCTGCAAATAACTGCAATTGTAGGTTTCAAACAGAGATGGCGACAAAGCGGCAAATCTTACGGACCAGAGCTTTAAGACACGACTTGTATCTGATATCTGCGTTTACATTAATCCCCTCCCAAACTAGAACAATTCCACTGGTGATCACTTTCAGCAACTCGGTTGACCCTTGTGTTTTGAACAGCCGTAAATGAAAATGATAGTTCATGTTGGGTGGTTCTTGGATTTTAATGCACACCAGCTGTGATTATCCCGTTTATGCCATGATCACTTGAGTTAAAACTGATGAGTTAAAACTGTCATTGATGTTTGCAGTGCAAAATTTGTCTGAACGGATAAAATGACCACAGTTTTCGAAAGTTGTTTTATCTACTGGTCATGAGAGCTGAGTAAAATTACTCACAAAACAGTGACATTATTATCAACTTGCTGAAAATAAAATGTAGCTTTTAGTGGCAAAGATATTTAATTGATAAAATTTAGGAGCCAGCGGCTCAAACCAAGTTTCTGTGCTCCTGAATACTTAATAAAAGAAGCTGAGTTTTTGTGTGAGTGCATGCAGGCAACATCTGCTTCATAATTTGACAAAGTAAAGTTATCTTTGTGGGGAAATGGGTCTCCTCGCCTTGTGATGGCTTGGAATTTCAATGGGAATCAGATTTACCTGTTTAGACGTGGTCAGATGTCCAGATATTGGAGATGTATCTGATTGGATCTCGTACAGATATTTAATTTAACACATGCAACAATATCCGATCTGTGTCACATGTGAGTAAAAAATAGATTTTTTTTTGTGCCAGTGTAAACGCAGACTTAGACACTGTAAGCTTTTTCACTATTTAGGAGATATACTATGAAGCCAATATGATATTATTGTCAGGTTGGTTGGTAATATGTTTAGATGCAATTTTGTATTTCACAGGAACTACCACTGCTGGAATGAGGTGTACATGAAGAGGCTTGATCTGCCTGAAAAATACTCTGGCTGGCAGGTGGTCGACAGCACCCCTCAGGAGACCAGTGATGGTATGATCCTTGCCATAACTCCTGCCACATCATACAAGTACCATAGAAGTACCTTTTTGACCCAAGTTTACATGAGCTATTTTACTTGTCCCATACAGGTCTTTATCGATGTGGCCCAACGTCTGTCAATGCCATCAAAGAGGGAGAGCTCAGCTATCCGTTCGATGCAAAGTTTGTCTTTGCAGAGGTAAGAAGCATGTAAGTGTTCTTTGATGTTTTTACCCTGTAGATTTAATTGACAAGATATTAAAATCTTAGCTATATGCAAACGGACGTGGGAAAAAATATTTTTCCTGTCTTCAGACGAACAGTGATGTGATATACCATAAGTCTGATAAGTCTGGAAAAATTAAGATTATCTATGTAGACTCTGCGTATATGGGAAAGCTCCTTGTGACTAAAAAGAAGGACAGTAGCGAATACGAGGACATCACATCTACCTATAAATACCCAGAAGGTACGTTTCGTTCTATACAAGTCTACAGAATCAAAAAGCAATATGGCATTTAGATCAGGAGAGCTGCATTCGATGTGGCAATGTAATTCAAATTATCGGCCTCTGACATGATTGACACTCTATTTGTGAACTTCAAGAAGTCATGGTGGCCTACAAGGGCTCTTCCTGAGAAAAGATAATCCTTTAAGTGTTTGAAACTAAATTTGGACACGAGTCTTGGAGAGACCAATCATATTTTTGACTAGGAAGTGATTAGGAAGAGCCTTTTACGTTGCTTAGGTTGACATGCTCGACATAATTTAAATCAAGAGCCGTGGTTTACTAATTTGACTGGTTTATAGAGCCTGGTTTATAGAGAACTTCATTTGGATTAAAAGCCTTTAATGTTTATTTATACTGGGTAATTTGATATTACCCTGTTGAAAAAAACAGCATATGCTGGTTAGGTATGTTTTGAAGCATGGCGGCTGGTCTAAACTGGTCCTTAGCTGGTCACGAGCTGGTTTAAGCTGGTCATGTGCTGATCATAAGCAACTAGCTCCTGCTCAGGACCAGCTCAAATCCATCTTATAACCAGCTTAAACCAGCTCATGACCAACTAAGGACCAGCTTAAACCAGCTCAAACCAGCTGCCATGCTTCAAAACATACCTAATGAGCATATGCTGTTTTTTTCAACAGGGTAGAGGGCAGTCAAAACTAAACTGTGTTGTGTTCTGGATTCTTGGAGCAACACTTTAAAAACACAGTTGGTTTCAGTAACACAAGAGCTCTCTATTGACACTTGTGACACTTAACAAAGCCCTTCAGTTATTTGATTATTCAACAGACTTACATGAGGACGCCAAACATCCTATGGACATGTGCACCAAACAATAGTGTTTTGATTGATGTGGGAAGGAGTGGAAAATGCCAATATTTTGACTTCAACCTTCCTGACTCTAGGAAGTCAGTCTCAAGGAGAGAGAGGCCATGCAGATGGCAGAGCATCGTGGAGTTTCTACCAAGGACTACTTGCCACTCACTGAAGCAGGTGTGGATTTCAAGCTCCAGGCTGACACCATCAACATGGGTGACAACCTCAAGCTGACTCTGAACATTAAGAACCAGACCAGCCAAACCTGCACCCTCAGTGCCATCATAACTGGCTGTGTGGTGTACTACACAGGCGTCACTAGCACAACTTTTAAGCATGAAAACAAATCTGCAACTGTGGAAGCCTCAAAGAGTGAGTCAGACACAAGTGTTTCAGTAAAACTGCTCATTATCTTGATTATAACTCTAAGGAATTCTACAGAAAAATAACGGATTATGTCATAGTGTGATCATATTATCATTACAGCTGAGTCCCTGACAATAGATGTCAAAGCTTTGGAGTACATGCCCTACCTTGTGGAACAGTCCAACCTACTCTTCGTGGTGTATGGGCACGTCGAGGAAAATGATGCATCCCTTTCCACGATGAGAGTTGTCACTCTTAATCCTCCTGAACTCGCAATAAAGGTAGTTCACAATTGATATTAAAGGGATAGTTCACCCAAAAATGAAAATTCTGTCATTAATTACCCTCCCTCATGCGCTGAGCCTTGTTTACATTCAGAGGAAAGCACGTGCATGTGTTGTGGTACTCTCCAAAATGGCGCTAGGGTGACACGGAGGAGAAGAATTGTTGAATAAAGTCGTTCCCCTTCAGGAACTCGAGCTGCGTTGAAAACGCTTTGGGAAAGCATCTGCGTGACCACGCTCTGAATCACATGTGAAATCAGTCCAATGGAATGGCGAAACGTCACGGGCGGGGTGACGTAGAGACCAAAGAGCTTAAAAGCGCATCCGAAACAAGCAGCATTAGCTTCTGTTTCAGCAAGCGCTCTGTGTGAAACGTGTCAGTCTTATTTTCTGTTGTTTGTGAAACCGTGCACATTCACCTCTATATGGCGAGGTAAACAGACAGCACTTTCGATCGTGTGTTCTTCTCTGCCCGTGCTAAACATTACGGGTGTGAATGCACGTGATCGCTGTGTTGTTGTTTGGGAGCGGAGCACGTACAGTCCGCTCTCGAGGGGGCTGATTGTGCATCGAACGCTCCGTTCCCGTCGGGCACACTTCGAGGAGTGTGTCCGTGTTTGCAGTCTTTACGGTTCCTGTCCCGCTGTTGCTGAGGGGGGGTTGCATATGAATCTAGCACTCCCTCTCGAGGTTCGGAAGCCCGCATTGTGGTATCTTCCGTCTTTGAGTGAGAGCTCTGTGCTGCAGTTATCTTCGTCTGAGGAGGTTGATGTTGTTGGCAATGTGCACAATCACCTCTATATGGCGAGCTAAACACACAGCACTTTAGATTGTGTGTTCTTCTCTGCACGTGATAAACATTACGGGTGTGAATGCACACGATCGTTGTGTTGTTGTTTGGGAGCGGAGCACACACAGTCAGCTCTTGAGGGGGCTGATTGTGCATCGTGCTCCCGCCGCGAATGCTCCGCTCCTGCTGGGCACACTTCGAGGAGTGTGTCCGTGTTTGCAGTCTTCGGTTTCTGTCCGGCTGTTGCTGAGCCACGGCGGCGATTGGGATCGCATATGAATCTAATGCTCTCTCTCGAGGTTCGGAAGCCCGCGCTGCGGTCTCTTCCCTCTTTGAATGAGAGTTCTATGCTCCAGCTATCTTCCTCCGAGGAGATTGATGTTAGCAATGATGTATATGAGATGGAGGACTCGCCATCTCAATCTTTTGCATATGAAAAGCATACTGCATTTTAGATCGCTCATTTCTCCCTGCCCTCGCTATAATTGGGGGTGGGGATGCACACGATGTATAGATTGATGATTCGCCATCTCAATCTTTTGAATACGAAAAGCATACTGCATTTTAGATCACTCGTTTCTCCCTGCCCTCACTATAATTAGGGGTGGGGATGCACGCGATTTATGTGTGGTTTGTTTTGGAGCGGAGCACGCACAGTCAGCTCTTGAGGGGGCTGGCTGTGTTCATTCATAAAATGTCTCTTAGTGTACAAGTGTGCATTACCTTGGATGTTTAGCTCTGCTCCCGCTTCTTCTCGAGGGAAGAAAGTCTTATGCAATGTAGAATGGAGTGGCTTGTGCGTTGCATGCATTATGGGTCTGCAGCAAATAATGTAGGGGGAATCTGTGAGCAGACGGGAGGTTCCTTTTCTCTCTCTTTCCCCCAAACGTGTGCAAATGTATAAATGTGTTTGCAGGATATTAATCACGATTCTTTTATATTACATCATATATTATAATCAGACCGTGTTCACTTGTCTGGTTGTTTAGCTGCAAGTCTGAGGAATTAAATGATGAATATTCATCTGGCTTTGAGAAGTTAGATATATATATATATATTATTCAGCAGAGGGATCGGAGACGGGCCTCACCCTTTCTCCTCCCTCACTCTCTAAATACAGCGCTCTCTTGGGATATATAAAAAAAATCTCAAGTTAGAGCATGATGTTATACCTCTCTTCCTCTGAGGAGGTTGATGTGGTCAGCAAAGTATGAAGAGTTGGTATGTTGGGACCTACCGGTTTTTCCTGTCTCCACACGGAGGTGTTGAGAGCATGGGTTTAACCATTTTTTTTATTCCAACTCATCTGCCCTTTTTAAAAAATTCTATTTGACTGGCTCAATGAGTAGGTTTATAGGTCGATGTCTAAGGTGGGACAGACACCTGCGGGCTATATGTTCCCTATTGCAGCATCACCCCTAGGCCCTGACATTTTCCAAAGCAGGACACAGGTCTCAGGGGCTGCTGGGCGGGAGCAGCCCTAGCCGTGTTCCAGCTCCTCATGCGGGGAGCATCGCTTCTCATACTCCCCCAGTATATCTGGAGTCAGAGCGGCGCTCCCGGGCTGAAGGTTTTAAGCAGAAAGTGGATCTGCGGACCATCATTCTCGCTAGATAGTCTTTGACTAAAAGGACACCTACGGCCCAGGACTTCTGAGGGTGTACACCTCATCATCTCTGGGGATGAGCGGTGTATACCTCATCATACGGTGCCTGTCTCTCCTCAGTGCCCTCAGGAGACCGGCCTGTCCGATCCTGCCACCCCCGGTGTTTCAGGGCACAGCCGTCTCCAGCGAGCGCATCTCTCCGCATACGCCCGGAAACGTAGCGGTTCTGGGAGGCTCGCTACCTCTAAGGAGGTCTCCAGAGCAGCTAGTTCGGCCATCCCCTGCCGGTCCTCTGATTCAGGGCACCGGGCTAGCCGCTCCCTGCCACCCCCGGTGTTTCAGGGCACAGCGGTCTCCAGCGAGCGCATCTCTCAGCATCCGCCCGGAAACGTAGCGGTTCTGGGAGGCTCGCTACCTCCTAGGAGGTCTCCAGAGCAGCTAGATCGGCCGTCCCCTGCCGGTTCTCCACTTCAGGGCACCGAGCTAGCCGCTCTAAGTACACCAGAGGCCAGTCTCGAGAGACTGGTTCCCTTAGTAGGTCACCTGGCGGTGTGGCAGCCCCTGCCAAACGTATCTCATTGGGTCCTGCCCCGAGCAGGCTCTGGTTGGGTCAGTCTAAGTCTTCCAAGTAGATGACTGGTCTGAGGACCATCATTTTCAATAGGAGACTTCAGCCAAAAAGTCCTGATGCCAATGGCTCAGGACTTCTGAGGGCAGGCCCCTCTAATGGGACCTTATTGTAAAGTGTTACCTATTGTTCTTTCGTTCATTTGAACGTTAATCTTTTGCACTCTAATCTTGAAATACTTGTTTACTTTTATTTTTTGTTTAAAATAAAGTCTTTCTTTAGTAAACGACCTTTAATTAAGTTATGTTTATGTTTAATAAAGATATTTAACTGGTTAGGAGGACAACACTTTTTTTTACTTACTAAATTATATAGGCTATATTGTGATAAAACCATATACCGTGACAAAAGCTTCAACAACTATTGTGAAAATTTGATATGTCACATACCTAATGCACATACAATTGAATAGGACTATAAATAATTACATAATTAGGCTATGCAATTCAGTGCATGGTCCCTTTAAATGCTAATGAGCTCTGCACACCCCGCCCCTCTGTACTGTGTGGTGATGAGCCATTCTCATGAGACTGTAAACTTTAGCATTCGTCGTGGAACTTGCTAACTAGCACATTATTAGGAAAGGCGATTTGCAAAGATTCATAAAAAACCTTATACTCACTTCTTCTGGAGGTGAAGCTGGATCACGAATGATTCGCGTGAACATAGACACATTAAGGTAGATTGGGGGGCTCATTCCCTTCAAAAACAAACATAATCCACTGTGTCTTCAGCGGCTCAGGTGTCAGGAGTAAATGATGACTGCTGCGTTCATTATTACATGCATCCAACAACAGATTACTCAGTCGCTTAGGAGACATTCTTGTCTACAACTGCTCCGGCGTCGAAACAATGGCGAACTGTTGACAGCTCACTCAGGGTGGGTCTGTGATAAAAAGTGAAGTCGAAGCCGGATCTGCGGACCGTCCTTCAGGCTAAGAATGCCTTGGCCAAGAAGCCTTGATGTTTATGTTCCAGGGCTTCTGAGGGCAGGCCCCTCTGGGGAAGAGTAATGTAAACCTCATCATACAGTGCCCGTCTCTCCTCAGTGCCCTCAGGAGACCGGTCTGTCAACCCTGCCACCCCCGGTGCTTCAGGGCACAGCGATCTCCAGCAAGTGCATGTCTCAGAATCCGCCTGAAAACGTAGCGATTCTGGGAGGCTCGCTACCTCTAAGGAGGTCTCCAGAGCAGCTAGTTCGGTTGCCCCTGCCGGTCCTCCGCTTCAGGGCGCCGAACTAGCCACTCCAATTACACCAGAGGTCAGTCTCGAGAGAATGATTCCCTTGGTAGACTTTCTGGCAGCGTGGAAACTTCTGCCAAATGTCTCACAATGGGTCCTGCAGCCTGTAGGCTCTGGTAATGGAACAGAAAGTAAACACTCTCTTGAGGAAGGAGGTCATCGAGGTGGTCCCTCCTCGTGACAGAGTCTGGGTTCTACAGCCGGTACTTCATCGTTCCCAAGCAGAAAGGCGAAGGTTACCAATATCGGGTTCTTCCGTTCGGTCTGGCACTCTCACCCCACACTTTCACCAAGTGTGTGGATGGCTGCTCCGGATCCTTTGCGACTCCAGGGCATTCACATACTGAATTATATCAATGATTGGTTGATACTAGCTCAATCAGAGCGGTTGGCGGCTCGGCATCAAGATGTCGTCCTCATCCATATAAAAGAACTGGGGTTGTGACTAAACGCCAAGAAAAGTGTGCTTTCTCCATTACAGAGAACCATTTTTCTGGGCTAGTGTAGGATTTGACCATGATGCAGGCATGTCTGTCTCCTGCTCTGATCGAGTTGATCCTCACAGCAGTCAAGAGAGTGAGAGAAGGCCAGTCACTCACTGTCAAACAGTTCCAGGAACTGTTGGGTTTGATGGCAGATGTGTCCAACGTGATACCTTTTGGCCTGCTGTACATGAGACCCTTGCAATGGTGGCTCAGGACCAAAGGGTTCTCCCCGTGGGGCAACCCACTTTGCACGATCAAGGTCTCGCGGCGACCTTGGTTCCTGTTACAAGGCCCAGTGCTGGAGACTCGTTGTTGTCACGTATGCTAACGACGGATTCCTCCCTCATGGGCTGGGGAGCGTACATGAGTGACCGCTCCACCCAGGGTCTATGGGGAGGTCACCATCTCACGTGGCACATGAATTGCCTGGAGATGGTGGCCGGGTTTCAAGCTCTGAAACACTTTCTCCCGGACCTGAGAGGCCATCATGGGCTGGTTCGCACAGACAGTCAATATCAGCTGACAGTCAATACAGTCAAGGCAGGGGCTGAGGCTCGGGGAATGGAGGCTCCACCCTGAGGTGGCGGAGCAGATTTGGAAGAAGTTCGAAAGCAAGCCCAGGTGGACTTGTTTGCATCTCAAGAGACCTTACTTTGTCCCCTCTGGTTCCTCCTCTCACATCCAGCTCCTCTCAGACTGGATAATATGGTTCAGACATAGCTGAGGCTGCGTCTGTACGCATTTCTCCCGATTGCTTTGCTCCCGGGAGTTCTGGAGAGAGTTCGCCGGGATGGGGTGCGTCTCCTAAGTTAGTAGCTCCGTACTGGCCTGGCCAGCCATGGTTTGCGGACCTGGTCCTCAAGACTCTCCATGGGAGATTCCCATCAAAGCGGGATCTCCTCTCTCAGGCAGGGGACACCATCTTTCACCCCAGTCCGGAGTTGTGGAAACTGTGGGTGTGGCTCCTGACGGGGCACAACTCGTAGCTTCCGGTCTCTCAAATAAGGTTGTTGAGACCATACTCCACTCCAGAGCTCCCTCCACAAGGAAACTGTACTCTTTGAAGTGGGTTGTGTTCACATCATGGTGCAGAAATCGCCAACTGCTCCCAGTTAACTGCCCGGTTGGTTCAGTTCTGGAGTTCCCAGAGGGAATGAGACGCTGCGTCGCATTGCCATACTTCCTGCATCCCTGTGAGCGACTTGCTTCAACTTATCAGAAGCTAATGCTGCTTGTTTCGGATGCACTTTTAAGCTCTCTGGTCTCTACGTCACGTAGACGCCAGTGACGTTTCGCCATTCCATTGGACTGATTTCACACTCCCTCCACAAGGAAACTGTACTCTTTGAAGTGGGTTGTGTTCACATCATGGTGCAGAAATCGCCAACTGCTCCCAGTTAACTGCCCGGTTGGTTCAGTTCTGGAGTTCCTGCAGGAACGATTATCCGCAGGTTTGACCCCCTTCCACCTTTAGAGTGTTCATGGTGGCCATAGCTGCTTACCACGTCCCTTTGGGTGGTCAGTCACTGGGGCGAAACCCGTCGGTACATGTTTCTTTGTTGTGCTTGAGGCCAGGAGAAGTATGGTACCGCTCCAGACTTTCAGGTGCATCTGTCTTAGTTGTGCTCGCCATGATTTCACACTAGACAGGCATTTGTCAGTATGGTGGCGTGGGCATACTCGTTCCCAAAGCATTTTCAACGCAGCTCGAGTTCCTGAAGGGTAACATCTCTAGGTTACGTATGTAACCCTGGTTCCCAGAGGGAATGAGACGCTGCGTCGCATTGCCATACTTCCTGCATCCCTGTGAGCGACTTGCTTCAACTTATCAGAAGCTAATGCTGCTTGTTTCGGATGCACTTTTAAGCTCTCTGGTCTCTACGTCACGTAGACGCCAGTGACGTTTCGCCATTCCATTGGACTGATTTCACATGTGATTCAGAGCGTGGTCATGCAGACGCGTTCCCAAAGCGTTTTTTACGCAGAGTCTCGTTCCCTCGGGGAAGCAGGGTTAAATACGTAACCTAGAGACGTTATTTTTGTTTTCTTTGCACAAAAGTATTATAGTACCTTCGTAAATTTACGTTTGAACCACTGATGTCACATGGACTGTTTTAACGATGTCTGTACTACATTTCTGTGCCTTGATCGTGGTAGTTCTCTTGCTGTCTATGCAGGGTCATAGAGCTCTCGGATTCCATCAAAAATATCTTAATTTGTGTTCCGAAGACGAATGAAGGTCTTATGGGTTTGGAACAACATGAGGGTGAGTAATTAATGACAGAATTTTCATTTTTGGGTGAACTATCCCTTTAATTTGGAAATATTTCAGAATATAATGAACATTCTGTAATAATTTACTCACCCTCATGTTGTCCCAAACCTGTATTTATTCATCGATCGACTGACTTTCATTCAAAGCACAAAAACAGTTGAAAGTAACTAATTAAACTGGACCTTAATAGAAAAAAGATTTATTGTTCATTACTATAAAACACAACACATTCCATACACCTGTCTTTAAATTTGAGAACTTCAGGGGTGCAGTTTTCACAATCATTCTTTAAGTTTTAATAACAATTGGTAAAGCTGAGTTATGTTGCATTCAATTTCTCATGCCAAGTTCGTATTTACGAGTTAGGAAGTTGTAATTACAATGTCATATGCATGTACTTTTTATACAAAAAGTTGGCATTAAACAGAAGTTGTGACAGTCTTTTTTCCATATTGTGGTGTATGAAATGTATTCTAGAACAAGAAAACTGTAGCATGGGACTTGATTTTGTCCATCGGGAATTGATTGGATTGTTTGATCAATGTCATTTGCTATTGCTGCGGTCTCACACGAATGACAGTTTATCCTGCCATCGGGCCAGTAAAAATGTCATCAGAGAAGAGATGTCATTGCAAGAGGAAGGGGAAGTTTTTTGATTAAGGAGTATGATTAAGATTTTAGGGGTCATTCATGTGTGGAAAATGGTGGCATTGTGAAAAGTTGGGATATTTTTATATCTTATCATATTTTCATGCAACATAATGAATGACTTGCATCCGAGTCAACGAGATGGAGGGAGGTTAGATAGGGAAGGGCATTAAAAAAAGTAGTAGAACAGAGCTATGATGGTTTCTGCTGACTTTTGTCATATTGCTTGCATCTGGTGTAGACAGGGATTCAGTTTCTTTAGCAATAACTCAGTGACATCTGCTGGATGGGAGTTGCACTACAAATAATATTTAAGTTGAGTTTTATTTATTATTATTTCTTATCTTAGTTACCATTTTCCAAACTTACCTTTATAATTGCACAAAGAGCTTTGTAAAAGCAATACATGTTTGTTGCTGCTCTACATTATAATTTATCTACAGATGACTGGATCTCCCCGGGTTGGCAAGGAAGTCATAGTCAGTGTGGATTTCCAGAATCCCTTTAATTTCATCCTGCAAAAGGTTCAACTCCGCATTGATGGACCTGGTCTGATACTGACCAAATTGAAACATTACAGGTAAACTTTATATTTATATCACATTGGCAGGTGAAATAAAGCAAACGCAAATAGATGTTGCAATAACTACTACACCATACCCATAAACACGTCCAGACATATACAAAGACAAATGAAGTATTTCTTTTTTGTGCATATACACTATATCCATATACATTAACTTATTTAATTTATTAATTCATTTATTAAAATAAAAACATAAAAATATAAAAACATAGAAAACTAAATACACCTTTTGACTGAATTCTCTAAATATTTAGTCTCTTTTGTGTGTGTTTCCACTTGCAGTCAGATATTACCTGGTGCCTCAGTGAAATACAAAGTGTCACTGTTCCCTCGATCTCCTGGGAAGAAGGTGCTGATGGCGTGTCTAGACTGCCCTCTACTGAGACAGGTCACCAATCAGCTGGAATTTGAAGTTGTGCAAGACTAGAGTGAGACTGGGAACAAGATAGAGAAAAGACAGGGAAAGAGGAACCGAAGAGAAAACACAATTGCAGAATTCCCTGTACCATTGCTTTGCTTTGCTTCACTAAGCAAATATGTTTTTACCAAGAATTAAATAATTAAATGTTACATCTCAAATTCCTCCTGATCACCCAACTGAATTTAAAAGAATAGTTCGCTCCAAAATGACACAGACTCTCAAATTTTTCCAAATCTTTATGACTTTGTTCTGTGGAACACAACAGATATTTTGAAAAACAGAACAGAAATGTATACAGGTTTGGACAACATGAGGGTGAGTAAATGATGACAGAATTTTCATTTTTGGCAGAACTATCCCTTTAAATCAGCAAGTGTGAGAACTATAATAAATAATGACATCCATTGAAATCCCTAGTGATCTACAACATAGCTAACTTGTGTTTTGTTTGGGGAAATGTTTTCTCTGGTTGGAAGGAATCTTAACTAACTTACTGTATTAATCACAGTGTATTGTTGTTTTACTGTGCTCTAATGCCATTGACTATGTTTTACTAATGCAAATTAACAATAAATGCTTAGCCTGAAAGCTTTTTGATGGACTGAATTATTTATTTCAATTTTCATTTGGACACCAACACTCATATTTGCGTACAAGATATTTAAAATTATTTATAAGAACTGTCATCATTTAGCCTAGTACTCACCTAATGTCATTCCAAACCTGCTTGATTTTATTTTCTTCTGTGAAACAGGAACAAAAAAAGGTATTTTTTAAAAATGTGCGTTGAATGTGTTGTACTGTTGCTTAACAACGCACCGATTGTTTAGCTGATAAAACGGTCTTTGCTGTCTTTGATATCCCACAAGGATAGTAATTGGTCGTCTTTTATTGGTGGCTTGTTAAAACCTCTAAATCCTAATGCAGTGTGTTCCAAAACACACTACAGAAAGCCATTATTTCTAAATGGTTTTAATGTTTAATTGTTGATGGTTTGTAATTTTGTAATTTGTAGTGGAAACCATTAGAATTTCTGTGATGGTTTCTATTTTTCTTTTCTAGAAGGGTTTGGTGGTCAGTGTGTAAATGTATGTTTATGTTCACATTACTTTTGTATGAAGACATCTACATTGGCAAAAGTCAATTATGCGAAATTTAAAACATAAATATTGCGAAATAAATGCTTAATTGACCATATGCACAGAGCGCTATTTAGAACTTCCAGATAAAGATAAGCCAGCTCGTAATCTTCCGGTGAAGCTCATTTTATATGTGCTATAGGTAGAAACTCTCACAGAAACCTCTCCTGCCTCATTCTTATCAGTAACTGAGAAACAAAATAATTGCAACACCGTAAATATCAATAGCGGAATTAACATACAGTTTCATGTTCTTAAAGAACATCTAATTTTATATGCCGAGTCTGGTAATCCCAGGAAAGTACACAGCAAAATCCCCAGAGTTAAATCAACTCTGCTCAGAGTACATATTGTCCCAATCTACAGAGTGTTAAAGTAACACTGAAGCCGAGTTAAAGTTAATGGGATAATTAAGCAATTAATTAATTGATGAGTGAGCATTATTAAAGAAAACCGCGTTGCTGTCTATGCAGGGTCTGAGAGCTCGGTTTGGAACGACATGAGGGTGAGTAATTAATGACAAAATTTTCATTTTGGGGTGAACTAACCCTTTAAGTCTGTCACTCATATCCTTGTTCGTCTGCGTTGAACTCATATGGCGTCTAACCTGATTGAGATGTATTAAATGGTATACATTTTAAACTACAAATTAAACTACGAGAGAGAACATGTGTTTTCCCTCAAATTACAATATAACGTGTGGACTTAAAGGTGACGTATCATGAAAATCTGACTTTTCCAGGTTTTAAGTGCTATAATCAGGTCCCCGGTGCATCTACCAACCAAGGAAACGTGAAAAAAATTAACCTAGTAACTTTGTTTTGGGAAGCCTTTTTCTGCAAGCCTCTGAGAACACGAGCGCGTCTGATTTCGCTCCTTTGGTGACGTGGCAAAGGGATCTCATTATAATATTACCTCCCCTTAATCTGTAAACTTCCACTCACGGCGCTGTCATTATGATTTCGCAAGCAACAACGGTGTACCAGCTCTAATGCCATGGTGAAAGTTTGAGCAAAACATGCTAACTGTTCAGTGGTTGGCTGCACAGATGAGCACAGAACACTGTTTAGATCTAAAATAAACATGCAATTTATTTCCCAGCTGTTTACCTTCACAGACATAACCCACTGTTTTTTGTAACTCATGTGTGTTTTTAACGTAAACTTGTGTGTGAATGAGAACTTAGTTTAGTACTCACATGCTGTGACAGCCGCTTTCTGTGCGTGTGCTTCGGATGTGTGCGCTCAGAAAACCGTATATCAGAAGTTTAAACATATGTTTTAAAACGCATGATTTCAGCACAATAAACATGATAATCAGAACCAAAAATTATCATGTTTATCGATAATGTTTTTTAGCAAGTAGGAGCAGTAATGGCGCAGCTCTATTCTGGAAAAGGGGGCGGGGAGCAGCAGCTCATTTGCATTTAAAGAGACAGGCCCGAAAAACAGCCTGTTTCTGCTTCCACTCAAAATAGTCATTTTCGAAATGATATAACAAAAGATCTGTGGTGTATTTTGAGCTGAAACGTCACAGATACATTCTGGGGACACCAGAGACTTATATTACATATTGTAAAAAGGGGCATAATATGTCTCCTTTAAGTTTGAATTTATGATACTGACGTTATAGAGAAGAACGATCCTCACATTCTACCCGTACAAATCTTCAGTGACAGGGCATTGCCTAAAAGTAGACAAATGTTTATAACAGAACGAGTCATATTCCATGAATTCCCGGGTTTTTTTTCGCCCTCTTGTGGTTTATTATTATTATTATTATTTTTTATTCTACTGCATCAAATGGTACGTGGTTGTGTTCGCTGTCGGTTTAAGCATGCATACAGACCTTTGAACAATGTTATTTCTTTATCAACACAGTTTCGTTTAAGGGTGCTTTGGAAACAGATCCTTTCTGACTTTAAATTGAAATAGAAAGCCATAGAACAAGGCAACATAACATTTCCAGTAGCCAATATGCAACTGTAATGAGTTAGGCCTATATATGTTTTTGTTCTTTTTTAAGGATAGCATCTCACACATCCTGACTTCTAAAAACTAGTTTAAAGTCTCAGATGTAGCAACAATTCACACAGTAATTTATTTTAATCCATCCATTTTACCTAGTTGAACTTGAATGAGAACACAGTCTCATATGTTTGCTCTAATCATTTTTAATAGGTTATTCATAACAACAACAACAACAACAACAATAGTAGGCCTAATACATTAATAATAAAACATTAGCTCAGCATTAGCTACATGCAAATGTAGTTATTTTATGATTATTTTGTTTGTCCATGAATGTGAACAGTAGTAGTAAGCCTTTACTCCTCTTCTACAGAGCACAAATGGTCAGCAGGTATTTGTATAAATGTATGTATAAAACACATCCAATTTCATAATGGTATTATACGGACCCATGTCATAATCATGGAGCACTGCATGGTCCATTCCAGCAGCAGACTTTTGTAATTCATAATACTTTCACAACCTAGAAAACAACCAATATAGCATTGTGTTAGAAAAGACCTGAATTTATTCACTAGTGGGCATTAGTACAAACTCCTCCTGCGGGTCACACGTCTGCTCAGAGCATTAGTGTTTTCAGGTACAGCTCAGTGGATGTGTTCTGAACGTCTCCAGCAGTTCTGTGAAGTATGGAGTACGCGAAAACCTTGGTTCCCACATCTCTGATGAGGTAAGAGACTATTAATATTTTAGGTTTCAGTGTTAGAGGTCAACGGGATTTTTGGGGAGTCTCTTGGTTATTTGTGTAAATACAAGCTTGAAATTCTTTATAGAATTGTTGTATTATTTTAAATTTTATTTAATCTCTTAATAGTAGCACTAATTAATAGTACACAATAGTAACATTCATTAATGCAAGTCATGACAGCCTATGTTTTCCATTATTTTAACTCAAACCATTTTAAACAATTTCAACATGATTTTTTAAGTTACACACGGTTCAACTTGATTTTTTATTAAAGTCAGTTTTGATATTAAGTTGAAATGACTTATAAGGAAATGTTTTACAGTAACATGAACTAACAATAAACAATACAGCATATATTAATCTTGTTAAATGGTGATGTCTACATCTGCTAATACATTTTTAACATTTCAAATGGTATACATTAACAATGTTTTAAGAGCAAACACATTAATTAACAAGGAACATTAATATATTTCTAAATTAGCATTAAGCTATATTGTTCATTGTTAGTTTTTGATATGCAACAAATTGACCCTTATTTTAAGGTATTACCTTTTTAATTTAAAATTCATCATGCACACATCAAATAATTAAACCCCTGTAAGTGAAATACTATAAAACTACTGTGAAAGTGATCTGTACTCTGCTAGGAAAGTGTTTTTATCAAGCATTGCATTATTGCTGCAGTAGCAGACGCAGTAAACAGTTCTTTTCCTGTTTATATAACCATAACTCTTAACAAACAAGCTGTTATTTCTGGAATTCAGACAAGCTGTAGCTTTAGATTTACCCCTGAATGGTGCATACTACATTAAAGGTGCATATTAGTAGTTTAAAGAACATATCAAGGAAATCGCCCCAGTGACAGTTTTGTACCTTTTTCCTAATAGACTATCCTGAGATTGCAGGTCTAGTTTTGACGTTAACCACATTTAGACAACAATTATTTCTCTGTGCCATATTAAAGGGTCAGCTCTGATGGTGTGTTGATGTGGTGCTGTAGGTCTGTGTCGTCGGTGCAGACGTCTCTTGCCCATCCTCAGACCCGTCCATACAAGGTCTGCACGCAGAACCGCCGCAGGAGGAAAGGCTTCACCGCCAGCTCTCTAGCAGACCTCATGGAGCAGGTCAGATCTCTGGATGTCGTGTAAGATGCTGCATACTGTAGCAGGTGTTCTTTACAAGTTACACTAATATTTAGTTAGTTAGTTATACACTAATATTCAATGCTGCATTTATGCAAAAAAAAAGAAAAAAGAATACAATAAAAACAGCATCACTGTGAAGTGCATTATTGTGATGTATTATTACCATTTATATAACTGTTTTCTATTTTAATGTATTTTAAAATGTAATTTATTTCTGTCATGGCAAAGCTGAATTTTCAGCATTTATTTCCAACAAAATGTTTACAAAATTTAATGCAACCTTGCTGAATTTATTAATTTCTTTCAGACAAACAAATACATACAAATTTGATTGACCCCACGGAATGGTAGTGCATTTAAATTTATTATTATTATTATTTGAGTTTCAAAAAATAAAAAAGCTAAAAAGGCTTTGAAACAATTTTCACTAAGAAATTGCTAGTAAATTTCATGAATAACTACAAAAATGGCAAGTAACACAGTAGAAAGTAGAAAGACTGAAATTTCTCGTAAAATGTACTCTAATAATCGTTGTTTTATTTACAACTCATTAATTTTGTTTATGCTTGCCGATCCAGAAAATCTGATTTTCATTTATTTTGCAGTCATCGAAAACATGCAGTATCAAATGATTTAAAAATATGGAAGAGTCTTAGTAATGCGCAATACAAAATATTAAAAGTCATGGAAATATGTAATGTGAATATATGTATTCCTAAAATATTTAGTGACTCTCTGTGCAGTTGTGCATGCAAGCCCACATGATAACATCAGTTTATTCATTGAGCTTCAGTCAGATCTTACTGGAGATTTCTAAATTAATTAATATACTAAATATAATCGTTTGTACCAATTGCACGGCTTGGTACATGACATACAAAGTTAAAACACAAAGTCATATGTGGAGTCCTAATATCTCTCTCTACAGGTGGCCAGTTCTTTCTTGATAACGTGTCAGTTCCTCACACTTGTGCTGGAGGATGATGGGACGGTGGTGGACTCTGAGGCTTTTTTTCAATCTCTGCCTACAAATACAGCATTCATGGTCCTGGAGAAAGGGTAAGCGTGGACCACCAATGAACTGGTACAGCAGTTATATGCATTTTTAATTTGTAATTTAACAAAATTTTAAAAAGATTTTTAACTAAGTTATCTTCATTATCTGCATTATATTCAACAAGACAAAATATTATTTTGAAATAAATAGTCTACATAAATAAACAAACAAATAACTTGTGGAAAAAAAAAGTTTCAATATTTTATCTACCTGCGCATCATGTGGCTATTAACTGACATATGGGAGAAATGTGAACATGCAAATGTGTTGTTAAATTACTGAAATATTAATTAGGGATAGTTCACCCAAAAATAAAAATTACACCATGATTTACTCACCATCAAGCCATCCTAGGTGTATTTGGGGGGCGGGGGTTGAGATAGAAGAAAGTCTTATACACCTATGGTTTGAGGGTGAGTGTGTTGTTTCATTTGCAGCTGTTAATTTATCAGTTTTGTTGATTCGAAGCTTTCACCAGCATTTGTTATTTAAAGCTTATTCATTTAATCATTGCAAGAGTTATATTTGCTGAAACGATCTTTGTGTTTTTGCTCCACTAGGGTGCAGGCTTGCATTTACCCCAAACGCTCATGACATAATAGCTCGTTTCAATCTGTGCCAATCATTGCCCTCAATCCATATTTCACAGGTTCTGCCAAGTTTCAGACAGCCAAGAAGAAGTGGAATTGCTAAATTGAGCTTTGACCTGTACAAACTGAACCCAAAGGATTTTCTGGGATGCCTCACTGTTAAAGCCACACTCTATGAAATATACACACTCTCATATGACATCAAGTGCACCAGAGCCAAGTACTTTCTGAAGTAAGACACACACACACACACACACACACACACACACACACAAAGATTTCCTATCGCCAGGCTGCAGTATGAATAAAATGAATGTTTGTCTGGACAATCATATGTGACCCTGGAGCACAAAAGCAGTAATAAGTAGCACAGGTATATTTGTAGCAATAGCCAACAATACATTGTATGGGTCTGAATTATACATTTTTCTTTTATGCCAAAAATCATTAGGATATTAAGTAAAGATAATGCTCCATGAAGATATTTTGTACATTTCCCATACTGTAAATATATCAAAACTTAATTTTTGATTAGTACTATGCATTGCTAAGAACTTCATTTGGACATCTTTAAAGGCGATTTTCTCAATATTTAGATTTTTTTGCACCCTCAGATTCCAGATTTTCAAATAGTTGTATCTCAGCCAAATATTGTTCTCAATTTCGACCCTTATGACTGGTTTTGTGGTCCAGGTTCACATATAAGCTATAAGCATATACAGATGGATCTGACTATTAGTGAAAATGCTTCTATTCTTCTTTCATCGTTTAACACAGATGTTTTTCCCATTAAAAATTATGTAAATCAAAGAGCAATCTGGGATTACCATGGTATGGAAAGTGTTCCTTGTTGTTCATGTACTAAAAGGTCTGTCTTTTCCCTCTCTTTTTTCCTTCTTCAGGTCTTTATTGTGGTGTTTCATGTACATGGCCAAACTGGTGGGTCAGGTTCTGCTGTACGGCTCTGCGTATGTGTTGCGGTATATTGGGGATGAGGAATCCTCAAGCTAAACAGATCAGATCGAAATAGTGGGAAGAAATGAATACTGCACTCATTTTTTAGTTTTTGCTTAGACAAATATCAATATATTTTTGTCCTTTTATGTGGCTTATTTCATAACTGCTTATTTCTAAAATGTACTGTGAATAAAAAAAAATTGTGAACTAAATGAGAACTGAATATTTTGCATGTCATCTTTTATCAGACTTGTGCTAAAATGATCTGCAGTTGAACTTGTTGTGTGACTGCATTTTTAAAAGACTTTATCTGATTTACTTATCCATCAGAATGAAACTCCCAAAAGTCAAAATGCTACAAAATGATGCAAGCACATTTCCGCATTGGAATAATAATAATAATAATAATAGTAATAATAATAATTATAATAATAATAATAAAGTAAACTGTGACTCTTTTTCTCGCAATTGAGTTTCTATCTCACAATTATGACTTTGTGATATAAAAAGAATTGCAAGAAAAAAGTCAGAGTTGCGAGATATAAACGTACAATTCTGAGAAGAACAAAAGAGTCAGAATTGCTTATAAAAAATGTTTTCCTCAGTTCTGAGTTTATATCTAGCAATTCTGTTTTTTTTTTCCTGTAGTGGAATAAAAATAAAGTTAAATACAACTTTTTATCTCAAAATTCTGACTTTCTCGCAATTGCGAGTTTATATCTCACAATTCTGAGATATATATATATATACAAAAAAAAAATAAAAATCAGAATTCAGAGAAAACAACTCTGAATTTTGAGATAAAATGTTGTCATTACCTTAAAAAAATAAATAAAAATGTAACCACGTACTAGTAACCACGTGATTACTGATATCAAAAATAAAGGTTTTTACTAGTAAGAATTGTATTTCTGATATGTGAAATTGGAATTTCAACTAGTAAGAAATTAGCTCTTGATATCAACAATTGATTTTGAATGGCAGCCTATGGTGACATTTAACTAGTGAAAATACAATTACAGATATCAAGAATTAACATTGTTACTAGTAGAAATCTAATTCCTGATATCAAGAATGAACATTTTAACTAGTAAAAATTGAATTGTTGATATCAAGAATTCATATCCTGAGAAAGAATAAAAGTCAAAACGGCTTGCCATACCTTCACTGTAAAAAAAAATCCGTAAAATGTACGTTATAAAACCTGCAGCTGTGGTTGCCGGAATTTTACAGTAAAAAATACGGTAGCAACATTTTAGGTTTTACGGTTTTAACTTAAATTTACAGTTAAATACCGTAATTTCATTAACTGATATATTGTTAATATACCAACCTATTGAAGTACTGAAATCTGTTTTGTACCTTTGTAATACACTGATAACCACCAAAAGCAGGTGGTGATGAGAAAGTCACATGATGAACCAAAGCCCATCACAAGCAGCTTTTAAATAATAACATATATAGAAGGCGCACAGTGTCATTCACACAAACACTAAACACCATCATGGTAACACACATGAAACTGAAATAATGCAATAAACATTCATTTAACAACATTAGGTGTAACACACAACCCTAATATACAAAACTGATAAGAAAAAACTAAGAAGAAACATAGTTATTTCAACAAAAAAACATCAAATTTGAAATGTAACGCAGGGAATTCTGGGAATGTCAATTTACGGTTATTCACTGTAAATTATACGGTCTTTTTCACTTCCAAAAACGGTATACTACCGTAAAATTAATGTCCAATACATGTAATGTCCAATACAGTTTTTCACCATATATAGTAGGGGAATTTACCGTTAACCATTTAACAGGTTTTTACTGTAGCACTTTTACAGTCTTTTACCGTTAAATTCACGGTCATTTTTTACAGTGTGCCGTGCTGAGCGCTATAGCCTAGTATGCAGAGAATCTGAACCGTCGCGCTTTATCACACAGTTCAGTTTGGGGACACTGTCTGAAATGACATCTAAACTAACGCAAAACCACTGTGACACATCTAGTTCTGGGAAGTCATCAGCGACGAGCACGGCATCGATGCAGCCGGCAACTATGTGGGTGACTCAGTCCTGCAGCTTGACAGAATTAATGTATACTACAACGAGGCGTCCTGTAAGTATGTGTGTCAGTGTGTGAGTATGATATCAGTGTGCTTGTCTCTCCTCCTCTCAAACTCACAATGACCTTAAACGTTTGAACGGTGTATCTACGGCCAACGATGGCGAGGAAGCATTTGAGGATGAAGAGGAAGAGGTGAACGAGTGAACGACAGATGCATTTTTGCTGTTTCTTTTCTGTTGTTTTTTAAGCTGCGATTTTTACTTTTTGTATGTGGATGACTGAAGTCCTAGTAAACAAACAATGCTTGCAATAAATGCTTTTTGAGGACCATATACATTTGTACTGTGAATATTTTTGTTTTTTATAATTATTATTAATTGTTATTATTATTATTTATAAATATTTGGTATTATATACAGTACACTTGGACTTGATTAATTTATTAATGGTGCTAATAATAAGTACTGAACTGTTTGAATCAAATTATTAATTAAACACCACTTAAAAATGTCTTCCAAATATTATATATTTTTACTATAGTGTCTTATTTGATATTACAATCAAAGTTAATATATTTTAAATGTATTAAATTGCAGCTTTATCGTCACAAATGTGCAACTATGAATATATTTAAATACATGGCATTCAAGTTTCAATAAAAATGACATTAAAGTATATTTTAGTTTATCATAAATTCTTGTCAGTATATTTGGCAGTACTTAAACCATATTTCAAAGGCAATAGAATTACAAAATTACATATACAGTAAAAATATACTTAAGTCCAACTTAAGTGGGTCAAAAAGCGCTCTAAAGTTTAGCAAATTGCATTTAATATCAATTTAAACTATAACGCATTTTCATTCCATTGCAATTAACATGCAATTCAGTGCCCGAAAACATTACATTCAGTTCGCACTTAAGTACAGTATATTCTTCCAAATGATATTATTTCCGTAACAAATACTTTTTTTAAAAGTATGCAAAAGTATGTTTCTATCTCTTAAGGGTTGGAGCAAATAATGTTTAATATTATATAATGTTGCGCATAAAAAGAAGCTGTAACTGGGCAGTACATTTTCAAAAGGTATACTGTAATTATCACTTAAGTGTGCATTTTGGTACATATTACTACCTAAACTGTACATATTAGTATCTACAGCATATTAGTTCCTTTTGAAAGGATACCATCCCAACAACAGCTTTTGTACCTTTTTTTTCTGAGAGTGTAGTCATAGAGCATTTGACTTGAGCTAAAATCCTATGGAGGATAGGTGAGGTTAGAGCCAGTCTTTCTGAATAACACATGCTTTGTTCATATTCGCTTGTGTCTCGTAACACACAGGCTCTTGTTCCAGCCTCGGACGCAAATCCTGCTCACTCAACCTTCTATTATTCTCAACAGCTGCTGAGCAAGCCGTTCTACACTCTCAACAGCTGCTGAGAAAGCCGTTCTACACTTAGCAGCATGTAACTAACAATAGAGGAAGTCCAGTCTCGACACAACTATTTAGAGCACAGTATTAGCAAACACAAAGGGCTTACAGCTGGATATTGTACCATCAGACACAAACTCTGAAATAGGAGTGATTTACAAAAGCTTTTCAAATTTGAATTTGAATCCTGATCTCTGGACTCTGAGCGTGTACAGAATTCGAAGGTGAGAAGCCATTTGGGAAAAAAGGAATTGTTAAATAAATTAGTCCTCCATAAAACGAAAAGAAAATTAAATGAATTAAATGTAAATAAAATAAAGGAAATGGAAAAAGATTAAATAAAACGTAATAATTTATAAAGTAAAGTATATCATTCTTAATTACATTTAACAATTAAAAATGTAGTAAATAGATAAATAAATTCTGTAAATAATGCAATAAAATACTATTTTCAAAATAAAATGTTTGTATATTTGCAAATCGATTTATTTATATTTTTATTTTCAAATTATTTTATTTTTTAATAAGTACAAATGTACATTTTTTATTATAAAATAAATTATCTTTGTATGTGCATATTTTATTGTCAGTTTGCAAAGTGATTTATTTCTATTTTTATTTTCGAATCATTAATTCACATCTTCACATTTTGGTGATTTCTCCTTGCTAAATAATTTACCATTTTATACAGCATTAAAAAGAGTAATATAATTATAAAATAAAATAAAATACATTTTATTCAGAAAATAAATGAATGATTGTATATATGCATTTAAATGTCAGTTTTTGAACAAATAATTGCTTCACATTTTTACAGCATATCTCTCCTAGTTCCTCAGAACTTGCTAACAAGGCTAATGGAGTGATACAGTCTCTTAAAGGGGTCATATGATATTGCTAAAAAGAACATTATACACAGTGACATAGACATGTGGGAGCGTGTTTAAACGAGGTGTTTTAGGAGGGTGTGGACCAGTCTTAACTTTTATAAAGAATATCTCTTTGGGTTTGAGACTTTAGTCTTTGCAACTTTAGGGATCTTATCTATTCACGAACAGCTTGTAACACTCCAAAGAGAAAGGAAAACTTGAAATCGCATCATATGACCCCTTTAACAAAACAAACAAGAGGTCCATGTGTGAGATATTTTGAAATATGAAATGGTTATTCGCAGGATCACGAAAGGCTGGACGCAGGGGTTTAGAGGTCTTTCTTTGGTATGTTTAACAGCTGCAGTCGACTCAGCTGAGAGGAAAGTGGGTCAGAGTGTCTCGCTCACATTTCCGTAAGAACCAAAACGCCGAAACCTCCAGTCTTAGGACTGGGAGGATAGTTATGTGTGATTGTTCTGTATTCCCTGTGCATGTTGGAATATCCAAACGGTTTTAGCTGCAGTATCACTTAACTCACTGTCAGAGCATGTGGGAGTCTGTCACAGCATGCCCAATAAGGCTTCGAAAATGTATCTGGAATCTACTGGAGTCTCATTTGTTTAAACCAACAATTCATCCTCAGATATATTCGATGTCAATGCTTAGAAATGGGTGCAAAGTAACAATAATTATGCAAAGTGTCTGCTTAA